TAGGGTATTTGTGGGGGCAATTATCAATTACTTTCTAGCTTTATTTATATTCTGTCTCTAAGCTGCTGGTCTCCATCTAGACATCTCTCAGACTATTTTCTTAACTATTCTGCTGGACATTCCAAGCCTCCCTCGCCACTTTAGGTATGCATTGCAGTGGAAGGTCTGAGGCCCAGGGCCATTTTCCTACACAAGTCTTCAGGGGAAGCCAGCCTACTCTATCTTTTAATCACACCTATTCAAGGGTTATGGTCATAAATTTAATGTGAAATCAGTCAACCTATTTTCATAACATTTTTCATGATAATGAAAAACAGAACAACCACTTCCAGTTGCTTCATTCCTAGCATAGAGAAGGCATATAGTTGGATCATCCAAGGTTGTACTTTTACAATTTTAGTAATATGATTGGAGACTGGAAGAAGGAAATTAGGATGATAGCAAGGAAATGAAAGATCATGAAATGTAAGTTGGTTAAGAAGGGAATTAAATCAGGGAGGAAAGGAGTAGAGAAAAAAAGAGAATTAAAAACAGGAGTAATGCACAGGGGTCTATAAAAGGTTAAAAAAAGGATTTTATTCCTTCATTTAGTTTACTGAGTTACTTAACAACTGAGCTTGTACTGTGTGTCAAACTCTATGTCCTGACTGACCATGTCTTCTCACAGTTAAGTGTAATTTTAAGCCACATATTTCTCTTTTTTATTTTATTTATTATTTATTTAGAGTCAGAATCTCACTTTGTTGCCCTTGGTAGCATGCCATGGTGTCACAGCTCACAGCAACCTCAAACTCTTGGGCTTAAATGATTCTCTTGCCTCAGCCTCCCAAGTAGCTAGGACCACAGGTGCCTGTCACAACACTCAGCTATTTTTAGAGATGGGGTCTCGCTCTGACTCAGGCTAATCTTGAACTTTTGAGTTTAGGAAATCCACTCGCCTCAGCTTCCCCGAGTGCTAGGATTCCAGGTGTGAGCCACCACGCCCAGACTTAAGTCAAATATTTGTAAGAGCTGTGGAGAAACAAAAATGGATAGGCAGATAGAGGACAGCAAGTGGGAGGGAAGAGTGGTGATGATTAGATAGGGTACCCAGGGAAGGGAACCCACGCTCATGAAATTGAGCCAAGACCTGAATGAAGTGAAGGAGTGAGCTTGGGAAGAGCTGTGGGGGTGGTGTGCTAAGCTGGTGGGACTGTGAGTACATTTTAATCTTTTGTCACTAGTACTTGAATAGTAAAGTCAAAGAAAATCATGCTAAACAAGGTAATTTTTTCCCCTGTTCTATTTTAAATGGTGTTTTCATGACACCATGACACAGCTGGTTTAAGCACAAATAATAGATGTTGCACAAAAGTCATTTGAGTGAGCAGTTGGTTCAGTCAAAAGCCTCATTTAAGTGGACCACTTAATGTTCACTTATAAATATACCTGATATGATATATTCTTGTCCAATTTGTTTGCCACTTCATTCTCTGGTGTCCAGCATCTGAATGCTACTCTTCTCAATTAGGACTAGGATCCAATTAATCACTGTTAAATCAATTTTTATGCACACGTACAGTTTAACACGGGGAAACACAAAACATCTCCCTATACACTTTTTTGAAGAAGTTCTTCTAAGGGAAGAATTTGAACACAAACCCAAGGTCTCTTCCTGAGAGTACAGGGATTTACTTTAAATCAAGGGTGTCCAACCTTTTTTTTCTTTGCCATACACTGGAAGAATAAGAGTTCTCTTGGGCCACACATTAAAAACCCAAACACTAACAAAAGCTGATTTGTAAAAAAAGGTTTGTGCACACTTTCCCTGATATCTGATACCACAGATAAACCAAAGGAGTCCTCACAAAATCAGCACACTGCCTGTGATTGGACACCCTCACCCTCCCACCTCCACCCCCTGCTTTAAATGGCTTTGTAAAAAAAATTAGATATAACTGACATACAATAAAATTCGGCCTTTTAGTGTGTTTGCAGAGTTGTGTAGCCATCACCATGACGTAATTCCAGAGCATGTTTATCACCCGCAAAAGACAACTCACACAGACCAGGCCCACTAGCAGTCATTCCACGTGCCCCATCCTCCCAGCTCCTGACAACCACTGATCTACTTTCAGTCCCTACGTGTTTGCTTATTCTGGACATTTAACGCAAGTGGATTCACACGGTGTTTGTCCTTTTGTGCCTCACTTCTTCCTCTTAACACAATGTCTTCAGGTGTCATCCATGTTGTCGCAGCTACCAGAACTTCATTACTTCTTACAGCTGAATAAGACTCCTTTGTGCGGGCATCCCCCATCCATTCATCAGTTGATGAATATTTGGACTGTTTCCCCTTTTAGTCTACTATGAATAATTCTACGCTGAGCATCTACAAGTTTTCATGTGGTCGTAAATTTCCAATTCTTTTAAACACGCAACTTTAAGTGGCTTTTTAAAAGTACAGTTTGTAACACATTTTATCTTAATACTTTACACTTCACTTCATATTGTATATTATAAAAGAATACATGGCTCTTACCAAATATTCACTTAAGCGACTAGTTGTATTATTTAACTTTTCTCCAGAAATCTTAAGTAACATTGACCTTGCAGGAAGATATCATCTGCGTCCTCTGGCTCTGCAGCCCCCTGGCTCCCTGCACGAGAGGGGCCGCTATTTCACACCATTCTGGTGGGGCATTGGGGCTGCCCCTCTCAACAGCTGGTGGCTTTTTGTCTTCTTTGAGCCAGATCTCTTGACTCCCAGTTCAGTTCTCTGACTGCTAAACTTTACTTTTGTCTCTGTTGTCTGAATTTAAAGTCATAAAGCCAAACATAAATAAATAAATAAATATAATTCATATAGATAACATTGTCAGATAACAGTTTAGAAAAAGTGCTTTCAGAGTCTTACAGGGAGAAGCTGTCAGCCTTGGGCTCCTTGATTCACAGGGACAGAGAGGGAAAAGAGGAGTAATAAAAAAATACCGTCACTTCTATTTTGTGTGTAAGGAGGAAAGAATCATGAATATTTGTAAACTCTCACTCATAAGCAAAGGTTGGCCATGCCTGTTGCTTTCCTGTAGCAGCCAGTCTTGTTTGTTCTCATCAGTCTAGCATTTACATACCAGTAGTTTTTAAAAGGGGAATAAGCATCAAATATATTATAATTATATTGAATATTATCCAAGTGTAGTCATATTACGCAATGGATTATACAGCTAATCACTTGGCTCTTCTAAATGTCATACTGGATATAGTTTATCCCCCTCACAGTGAGTCAGAAGCGGGAATGAGCTCCTTCACTGTTTCCAGTAAGTGGCTTACTACTAGCAGGTGTTGTAACTGGTGGGAAAGGGTAGGACTGGAATGCTTACTTATTTGGGGATCTGAGAAATGTTCCCTGTGGCTGTACGTGAGGTCACAGGCAGCTGAGAGTGTTGGCAGCACCTGCAGCTACATCCCAGCTTAGAAGAGGCTCCCAATGCCCTACAAGTCGGGAATGTTTGTCCCCAGCACAAACCCAAGAACAGGTGCTGGGTGGGCCAGGCGTGAGTCTCATCTTCTCCACTTTTTATGTGATCTTGAGCATATCACCTCAGGATCCAAGTCCATCATCTCTAAAGTTAAAAGCATTAACTAGTTGACCTTTAAAACACTCTTTTGGCTCTAAAATGCTATAACTCCATGACTTAGTGGTTTCAGCTGTCAAGTGGATTGGAGATAAGAAATAGTATATAAAGATAATGACATAAAGTTATACAGAACCATCTTTGAGTCCCGTGTGACACTGGGCAAGTTACTTAATTTCTGTAAGCCTTCGTTGTGTTATCCTTAAAAGGGGGCTCATGACAGTAGTTCCTAGATTCTAGGGCTTTGGTGGGTAGTAAATGGCATTGTCAATGCAGAATTTTTAGCACAATGCTTGAGAAATTATAAGATTTAACATTTATTAGTAGTAAGTAATATTCTTAGTTTCTTTAGGGACATTTTATCCTAATAATACAAGAAATAAATGAATATAATTCCAGGAAAGTTAGTAATATTGTAAAGTATTACATTACAAGATAGTCTATAATAAGTATATAGACTTAATTTTTTAAAGGTTATAATTAATTAGCTATAAAGGAAACTAAAAGAAATCTGTGATAGAGATTACTGACTGGTAGGCATGGGGGGGAAGAAAAGGGGTGCAGGGAGCAGGTAAAAGAAATCTGACTTCTTTCCTCCTTCCCTTTGTTGTTATGGTAATCTTCCTTTTATGCATCACTTTCCGATCTTAATTTGGAGATAGAACCATCTACGGAAAACCTACCTTAGTGGCTAATCAGAAGTATGGCTGTCTGTATTGAACAAAGGAAACAGATAAGATTTTTATTGTTTCTGTTTAGCATGTAGGAATAAGTAGTAAATCTCTACAACTCCACCTAAGCTGCCTCCTTGTAATTTCTGCCATTATTTTTGAAAATATTGTTTTTGTGTGAATCAAGGACTTAGAAGTTTAATAATTTCAGAAAGAGACACGTCGTTTTCCTCAGTTATGGTATTATTACGAAAACTATTCAAAAGCAGTTAGCTAAATTATCTGAAGGGATTTAAGATAAAATATGTAAAGAGTCAGGCTCCGTCTGTAAAATATTGTGAGGAAAGTTGGCAACCTGACATTTGTTGGTGGCTCTCTTGGAGAATTAACCATTCAGTTCTCAAGAGGAGAGGTGAGCGGACAATAGTGACAAAGTGACGTGACAGTGCAGGTCAGATCGTCACTGCCCATCTCTGGACAGGCGTGTTCTAGACGGCCCACGCCTCCCCCTCTGTCGTATCTCACTTTACTGCTGTATGTGACATGTAAGAGGGGAAAGTGTGGACTCTTCACTGCAGGCTGACTGGCTTCTGATGAGATCAGCTCACCCCAGAATCCCTTGTCCTCCTTCAAAATTGCTTTTCACTGCCTTGTAATTTCCAGTAAGGCTAAATGTCCTTTAATCTCTAATGTTTCTTTTATACTTCCTTTATAGGAGGCACGTTGTAAGAACTCCCTACCCATCATTTTTACAAAAGGCTTAGAAAGAGACAAGCCAAAACCATCTCCAAAATCCAAGGTAAGCTCTACCTGCTCTTCTGGGTACTGTGTGAAACCCTCGCTGTGGCGTTTCCGGGCTCTGTCGCTTCTGCTTCCTTCATCCTATGGGGATTTAGTTTTACGGGGTTTTTTTTTTGGGGGGGGGGGTGGTAGGGGTACAAACCTGGTGGTATAAAAGCCCTTTTTATATAGAGCATTTAATTCAAAGTTATATTCATCCCCAAATTCTCAGGATATTGTTATTATTTAATATTTAACAATTTAGATGGTTTAATAGTCAATAATTTAGTAGATGGTTTTCTACTGCTTATTCGGAGTTTTTTCAGCCCCCGACATCAACACAGGGAATAGTGGAGTGTAGTCGACCTTCCCAAGGTACTTGTAAGCATCATACAAAGGTGTGAGGTGCACTTTCCCTCCTGTGAGTAAAAGTAACATTTCCAGCTGCAATTTTTCTAATCAAGATAGAAATGACTTTATCCGTATTTCATAATTATAAAAGTAACACATGGTGAATATGGAGTGTTTAAGTCGATTTCTAACACAAAAATATGAGAACTCTTATAGCTATGGCAGAATAAAGGGTGTAATACGTAAAATTGTGTTTCCTTTATAAAGAAAACTGCAAAATACACGTTGTTTTTGCCAGTAAAAGCAACCCAGAACATGTCATGAGCATTTTGTCATTTGTCCACTCAAAAAAGTGATTGTATTATTAACCCCTTACTTTCTTGATTTTAAATCTTCTCTTTTAAATAGACTTTAAATAGAGGTCCTACTATTTACGGGGTGTATGAGTAATATACTCCTAAATGGCCACTGTGGCATGTAGAGAGCTACTTTTTTTTTTTTTTTTGTAGAGACAGAGTCTCACTTTATCGCCCTCAGTAGAGTGTCATGGCATCACACAGCTCACAGCAACCTCCAACTCCTAGGCTTAGGCAATTCTCTTACCTCAGTCTCCTGAGCAGCTGGGACTACAGGCACCCACCACAATGCCCAGCTAAGTTTTTTATTGTTGTTGTTGCAGTTTGGCCGGGGCCGGGTTTGAACCTACCACCCTCAGTATATGGGGCCAGTGCTCTACCCACCGAGCCACAGGCGCCGCCCCCTAGAGCTACTCTTTTTCCAGTTCTAAGACATGTTCTCCAGACTTTCTTGACTCCACAATAGCAAACTTCTAAAGAATTCTCTTCTTTGATATTACTTGCAAGTTACTATAAAAATAATTGTGGCTTTATTTTTAAAGGCAAGTGAAGCAACATATCTAGCTATCACTGTTTTACTTATGGAAAGAGTGTACAGCTTATTTTTAAAAAAATAAAAATACCTTTCCTTATAAAACATATTCTACCTTGTTTTTTTTTTTTGTTTGTTTGTTTGTTTGTTTGTTTCTTTTTGAAAAGTATTGCAACTATCTACTTTGGATTCGTTTAGAAATTAAAATGATTTTTTGTGTCCTTTTCACTGAATTATTGTGCCCAATAATTCATTCCAACCTGTAATAGAAATTCTGTTGACTGTGCAGTTTATAAAATTCAATGTCGAAAATATGGTCATCAAACAAGTGCACTGAAAAAAATGTTAGAGGACTTAAGGAACATTTTTCGATAATATCTGCTTTTTAACTTAATTTCTAGTGATATAACTACTTTGAAGTGATGAGACCCTATGAATCACTTCCTAAATGAAAGATAGTCTTGAAACTGTCATAAAAATTGTTTGAAGGGAGTCTGTGACTTTTGTGAAATTACTCCCACGTGGGATATTTTCGTCACCTACAGAATCAATGATTAATGTGCTTTTATTATCCTCCCATCTATCTTCCTGTATGCTTTATAGCACAGCTAATTTAATAGAAAATTTATTTGATGGGTTAAATTAAACTTCAGTGTGTGACTTTAGCTTCTTTGTGACCTTAAATGAGCAAGTTTAAGATGACACAAGCAAATTAATCTCTGCTTGGTTTGGGGTGATTATGATCTTTGTTATTTCAAATCCCAGAAATAAAGCCGAGCATGGGAGCTACAAGGGATTATTAAGGCACTATTTCTGTCACCAAGATTTTATCTTAAAATCTTTTTTCCTCCTGTTGATCTTTGAAAACTAAAGCTGAGAACACCTTCAAAATATGGTTGGTGTGTTCTTTCTAGACTGACTTAGTGAGCTGTGAGAATGATGTGTATCCCCGGTATTAATGGTCCTCCATTTGGCCCCCATCAGTGTCTTTCTCAGACATCTCCAGTTACAGCTGCGTTTGCCCTGGTCAGCTGGTATTTCTGATCCCTATATAGGCTGGAGATGTAAAATGGTAATCCAGAAATGGCCTCTGTCCATTGGCTCTGGAGAGGTCTCTCTAGTATAAGCCATCTGTCCCTGTGTATGTTCCCTCTGCCAGCTGTTGTCTCTGCTCTTGGGCAATGGGAAGGGTTATATTTCTCTTCCTTAGGTAGGAAAGCCACTTGCTGATTTGAGTCCAAGATGGAACTTGAACTCAAAAAAAGATACCTCCATTACACAGTGTCAGGACACTTGTGCATGAGTAATGTTTCCCTAGCCTTGCTAGCTCAAGGACATACTCATGTAACTATTTCATGCCCAATACTATGTAGACTATATATACCAGTATATATTCCAATATTTGGAATAGATGACACGGAAGATACCATCAGATAGATTTTTAGCTAACGAGGTACAGAATGTGGCTCCATGTAACCTAGTGGAGTTATGACTAGGAGAGGAGACAGCATTTTCTCCTAAACACAGGGGCTGCGACTCTAAGCCTCACAATCTGTGTTCAATCCTCACTGTATAAACCTAAGAGAATTCAGTGACCTGAGGGAGGAAAAGGATCTTCCTTTTCTCTTCGTCTGAGGTGTACTCTAAACTTCCCACTAAAGCTGTGTTCTTGACCTCAGCAAAAAACTCAAGGTCAGGTCATCGTACAAGGGTGAAGATAAGATTCATTCAGTGCCAGGATAAAGGTAAAAAATAAACAATGATCTATTTCCTTCCTGACTTTTATCAGTGGATAAAAAATATACTGATAAGTATTAAAATGATAAGCACATAATAGCTTTGGTTGTTCAGCGGATTCTCCTAATGCTTTTAAAGATGTTTCCTTATTAGGCAGAGTCATCTTAACTATAAAACGTGTGATGAAGATCAGGCGGTTGTCAGTAAACATCTGAGAAGCAGCTGTTAAATTATTTTTCATTTCAAAGGTTAATGATTTCAGCGACCGTGAATCATGTACGGAGATTTTCTTCAATAAGGAGATGAGAGGTCACAGTTGTTATCTTCTCAAATGTTTTTAAAATTCCTTCACTTATTAGCAAAATAAACCAAACACTTAAAATAATATAGGGTTTTGAGAATATTTAGTGCCAATGTAATTTAATTTGCAAAATACAAAATAGAAAAAGTAACTTAAGCATGGATGTTTTCAAGTTTTTATTTTTTGCTTTTCTTTCTTTCTTTCTTTCTTTCTTTCTTTTTTTTTTTTTTTTTTTGT